TAAAAATATATAAATAAATATTATATATGGGAGTTTCTATAGCGTTTTAGGGTCCAAACTAAAACCCACAGCAGCTGCTTTAACAAGAACTACAATAAAGGGACAGCATTGAGTCAAGATGATATACCAAACATAAAAATACATGATGCAACCAAAGACGCCACTTTATGAAGACTTTTTAAATCTGGCAGATACAACTGAGCATCAGAAAGATTAAATTCATTCTAAAGTAACTCCAGGCTTAGATCTATGTAGCCACGCAGTGACATCAAATGATAAGAAATAGCTATTTAACTCTAACCAGATTGATTCTTTATTGTCCTTTCCAGGAAATTTGTTGCCTCAGTCAGTCCACATATAAATATGAAGTAGGACCTAGGAATTAACCTTATCACACGGAATTTGTTCCGTTTTGTTTACTGTGTGGTTCCCTTTTTCATCAAGTGTCATGTATTTCCACCTTTAACTCTACACTTTTAGATCACTTTTTATATGTATCACTAAAGGAGTTCTCTTGAGTCTAAAAGTGCAGTTCCACATTTAGGTAAAAACTCACCCTCCAGAATGTGCATCCTGACCAGTTCTGAGCGCTCAGGACGACTCCGGATCTTCCTCTTCAGATAGTCCTCGGTCTGGAGAAAACACATTACGGAGGGGTAGCAGATGTAAGAAAGAGGATCACAAGACACTCAAAACAGATCACAAGACAAAGGATGAGAAACAATAGAGTGTGCAGAAGTCTTTAATTGACAACTGTTACAATGCAATAAACTGATACTGTAGATACATTTTTTTAGTTAGTTTCCATCTTAATTGCGCTGCCACAGTGTTTCAACCCCACGCTTACCACAGATGAACTGTTTAACAGTGTGTCTAATACTGCAGCAGGTGCTTTTTTTCCTTTGTTCGACAAAGATGGTTCTCGTTGCTAATGGCAACTGCTAAAACTAAAAGCAAACCAGGCATTGGTTGAATTACTATTCCGTTACATAAACAGACTAGCTGCAGAATTTAAATGTTTCATGAAGCAACTTTGCATTATTGGCGCTCCAGATTGCAGAAAGTAGATCTGAAGTTCAGTTATTAAAAAGCATGCTAATAGTGCTGAGTAACCCTGTTGGTTTGGTCCCTGAAGAGTACCACTATTTGTACGGCACCTTAGCTTTCGATTTGTTATTTCCTGGCAGCATGTAAGTGCCTATCCTGACAGTAGAATTCAATTTCATAAAGTGCTTTGTGATCTATGTTGTTTATACATACTGTAAACGTTTTGCCCCACACAGCTTCGACAAAGCAAGTCTACTGAGAAAATCACTGTACTTTAAGACTCTCACCCTTGCTCGCTCCAGACTCCTCCGCTGTTCGTGAAAGGCCGCCGGGCTCTTCAGTGCTGCACGGTGAAACGGATGGAGGCGGGAAAGGGGAGAGAGAGAGAGAGAGAGAAAGAGAGAGAAAGAGAGATGAGAATGCGGCTCACAGACTCTGATGGGAGTCGTGATGCCTCTTACAGCAAGTGACACTGTGAGAACACAATCAGCTATAGAGGAAGACAGAATTAAAGCAGAAGTGGCTGCAGGATGAGAAGGTTACAAGTGCCTTTCTGAACCACACTAGCTGATGACAGCTCAGGAGGCTGATGGGCCACTGCAGCGCACTGTGCCTGCAGGAATAAAGCAATGTTTGCTCAGAAAACTTCCTAGATGGATTGATTTTTTAACCTGTTAACATGCTGTTCAGATGCCAGTCATGTTATCATTGGGCCGTAGCCAATAGTGGTGGCTTAGCTTAGGTAAGTTAGTAAGGCAGCCGAACCTCATGGAACCACATGACCTTGAACTTTCCCAAACCTTTACTCAGAAGTGTCATAATAATCCATACTGTAACCATACTGCCTTCTGGTAGCTTGGTTGGTCATGTTCACCAATTCAGTTCTTTCCACATTCGTTCTCTTAGTTTGAACTGAGGACAGAAGTTGGTTTCAATCTTCATTCTGGCAGCTTTCCTTGTGTTAAACACAAAAACAGACACTAATTGAGGTCTGGGTGAATCTCAAACCTCCAACACACACAACCCGTTCAATGTAGGAAAATACCTTTCCACATGACCCAAACACACGTTTAGTTTTATGGTTCTTTTAAACAGAAGAAACATCAGGCTGTCCAAACTATTTCAAAGACCAACTGTCTGTGTTACAGTAAGTCTGAGCGATGGACAGTAGCTGGGAGTCTGAGAGACATCAATTCTTGATGACCAGTAGTCTGGAGTGGATCGTTAAAAGGACACTGAGTGTGGACTGATGGATAGACTGCATCACATAAAAAACATCTACATTCATCTCTGCACTCAGCCATGAGAGGAAATCCACAATTAATGGTTGTCAATCCAGTAAGTGTAACATTTTAGAGCATCTATGGCAGAAATGGAAGGTAGGTATGTTAATTCATTGTATATATCACCTGAAAATAAAAGAATCTTTGTATATTGTTACCTCAGAAAAAAAGAGCACCACAAAATGATTCTACAGTAGGCCCGCAGAACGGACAAACTGCAACTGGCTCTGGATTAGGCCTAGTTTCACTAGATTTTGTGACCACCATAGTTCTCTCCTGCATGCTGGAAGGCTGAGCTGTGGTTCAAATGGTTGCAATGTGCACGTCACGCTAAATGCTACTAAACCTAAAACCAGTCAAAACCTATGCAAAACCTTTACGCCTTTCTCAGTGTACAAATCAAACAGCAGCAGGAATCCCTGTGAAAAACAGCCAATAGGAATGCCTCTCTCTGAAAGTTAAAATGTGATTGGCTCCCGTCACGGACTAGATTTTGTAAAGCCTGAGGACAGAGGTGGTTCAGAAGTCTAGTCTTTCTCTCAGATGACTTTACAAAAATGCTTGTTATGATGAATTCTTGCTTCTAATCATATTTATTAACTCCCAGCTTTATCATAAGGATTAAAAAATGTTTTAGTGGTTTTTATTCCATCTCATATTTTATCATAGTGGTGGTTTTTCGTGATAATTGGTAAGCTAAAATCTGTACATAACACACTTTGGCCCATTCAAGGTATTGGGCCTAGAGCATTTTCCAATTAGAGTATTATGACTAACCAACACTGAAAGAGGAAGGATTTTAAACGTGTTAATAGACTAGACACAAAACGGACTACACTCACAGTCTTCAAGCAGTTAAAAAGCTTTTCATTCAAATGTCAAGATGAGAGTTGACAAGCAAAAACAATTTCACTCGGGATTTGGGGAAGGATATGGAGCCACAGTGGCAGTTAAAGTATTATGATCTACAACTAGCTTAACAACATAATCTCTCTCTT